CTGCCCCCAGCCAGCGAGATGTCACGCATGCAGCTGGGTGTCATCCCCAAAACTCCCGGGAAACTCTCAGGGCGCCGGGGCAGGGAGAGGCTGACGTCAACTTAAATGCCGGGGACTTCAAATGAAACTTTTAGAAATGATTCCTTTGCCCTTTACTTGGTAACATAATAAACTGATCTTTCTCTGAAAAGATGGGCCAATTTGCTTCAAGGGGCTCATTTCTTGAGGAGAAAATACACACACATATATATTTCTTTTCTTTTTCTTTTTTTTTTGAGACGGAGTTTCGCTCTGTCACCCAGGCTGGAGTGCAGTGGCTCCATCTCGGCTCACTGCAACCTCCGCCTCCAGGTTCAAAGGATGCTCCTGCCTCAGCCTCCAAAGTAGCTGGAATTACAGGCATGCAGCACTACAGCTGGCTAACTTTTGTATTTTTAGTAGAGACAGGGTTTCACCATGTTGGCCAGGCTGGTCTTGAACTCCTGACCTCAGGTGATCCACCAGCCTCAGCCTCCCAAAGTGCTGGGATTACAGACGTGAGCGATCATGCCCAGCTATATATATATATATATATATATAAAATTTTTTAAAGAAACATTGCTGCTTTGCTACAAAGTATATAATCATGTAAACGGGACTAATACCATTCCTTCCTTCCTCCCTTCCTTGGAGGGGTCACAGACTTTTAAGATTGGGGAACGGTTCACATGCATGTGCGTGGGGCAGTTGGTCAGAGCTGTCTATGAGAAAGGTGCTTCTAGAATACTTGGGCAGTGTGAGGTGGCAAACAGGTTGTTATTAAAGGAATTGAAATACTCTCACTTGAAATGTTCCCATTTTCTCTGTAAAGGCATTTCTTGAGCAAAGGAAAACTCCACATCCTCTGTCTACCTGAAGTTCAAAATTAGTGGCGTTTGGTTTTGATAATTTTAGTAGTTGATGACAAAACAGTGCTCTCTGCTGTCCTCTCTGTCACATCTAACAGGACGTGAATGAGGCAGTCCCTGATGTGAGCTGTGCTGGGTTTTGCAGGAGTAATGAACATCAATCTGCGTGTTCCATCGACTCCTTTGAACTTGATCTCAGCACTTAGCCTGGGTCATAATTGTCTGTGCGGAGGTCAAGGACGGGCTCTTATTCATCTCTGTGTCTCAAACCTGTGCCTGACACACAGCAGTTCCTCAGTGAACATTTGCTGAATTAATGAATGAACAAAGGAATGAGCAAACCAGTAGCCAGCAGTCCTGCCACACAAGAGGTTGTTTCCGATCGCCCTGATTCTCCCTCTTCCTCCTGTACCCGCAACCTATCTGCTGCCCCTACTGCTGTAGCAACAACTTCTCTCTGAAAACCTTCCGAAGGGAGAAAACGCGCCCCTCTCACGCCTCAGAGGCACACACCTATCCTTGCCTTTGTTTTTTTATTGCTGAGAGTACAGAAAGCAGAAGCTTCTGAAGGAGGTATCTATTTTGGTCCCAAACAGAAAAGAGTGGGTGATTCTGTGGGCAGAGGTGGCAATTCCTGAATGTGGTGTGGTGACTCACGCCCGGAGGTGCTCAGAATTTCCTCTGTTTTGTGGCTGCTGGGGCAGGTGCGACAGTGCCGCTTTCTCCAAAGATGCCCCAAGCTGCTCTGGGGGTAGAAGGAGGGCTGCAGGGAACATCAGAACCCAGAGAACCCAGACCCCGAGGACCAGATGGGCCTTAAGCCATCCTGCAGGAGGCCGGCTGCTCCAGCAGGTTGAGGAATGCCACACAGCTCTGTGGGTACCGCCTCACTGAATGTATCTGGGGCTGAAGGAGGAGTGGGCATTATTCACAGCGTATTACTTCACCTTTGTAAAAACCAAAAATAACTTCCCTGCTCACATGGCACCTTCGTCTTTGACCTTTAGCAGCAGTTTAGACAGGAGGAAAAAGGCAGGCTCTGGAATGAGACCGCCTGTTTCCAATCCTAGCCCCTTCCTTGTTGGGCTACATCGGGCAACCCATTTAACCACTGTAAGCCTCAGTTCGCCAGGCATAAAATAAAACGGAGATGATCATATGACCTACTTTATTTTTGGAATTAACTGAAGTAATACTATGTCTGAACGTAATACCTGAAAGATAGCATTTAGGCAATGGGTATTCACTGTCGTGGTTCTAGCTAGTGTTCAAATGTTTTCTGGAACAAAGCTTAAAGCAAATAAGCCCAAAAAGAAACATAGCTCTCAGTCTCAGAGTTGGTGCATGGCCGGCCTGAACTAGCCATCTGTTTCCGGGTCTACAGCTTTGCTCACTTTGTTACCAAAGGAAATCAGGGCCTGTTAGAGACTGTCCTATTTTCCACACTCTTTAGAATAAAGAAACCAATGGCTTCAATACAACTTCCTTATTTAAAATTAATTATCATTTTGAAAAATAGAGGTGGGGTCTCACTATGTTGCCCAGGCTGGTCACGAACTCCTGGGCTCAAGGGATCCTCCCCTCTTGGCACCTCAAAGTGCTGGGATTACAGGAATGAGCCCCTGCGCCCGGCTGCAGCTTCCTTTTTATTCTTTTAAAACATTGCTCTTTCTTCTCCTTTTGGGAAAAACGGACTCAATTGCTGCTAGTCCAATTGCATCAGCTTGTTCTTGCACTGCATACAGCGTGGGAGGGAAAAGTCTGGGAAAGGAGGGGACATGGGCCAGCGAGCTCGTCCGGCCACACCTTCTACCATGGGGCAAGCCCCTTCGCTGGCACAGGATGTGAATACTCCTGATCCGTATCTTGCCCCTTCCTTCCTCCCGTTCCTCTTCCTCCCAGCACAGTGACCTTCCAGTCAACTCCACCCATGCCACCCACACTTTGTTGCCTTGGAGTTTCCAGCCACCTGAACCCCTCCTGTAAGCAGGATCTGGGTGGAGGGCTGCAGGCAGAGCTGCTGGTCAAGAACCCCTGGGGAACTGGTTAGGTGTGGGAGTGGGAGAATGGGCTATCAGGACAAAACCCCTGGGACTCCAGCCTTGTGCTGTGCACGTGGCTCAAGCTGGGTCAGGGAAAAAATGTGGAGGTAGGGAAACAAGGCTCAGGAACTCTTTGGCTGCCATCCAGGGTCATGTGGTGCTGGCAATAAGTGATCAGTGACCCATTGCACCAAGGACATCTGCTGGGGACCAATGACACCTGTAGACACTGCAGGGTTGAAGTTGGGTGAGAAGCACTCATATGCTGTCTGTCTGACCAAAAGTATTCATTTTTGTCCAAGAATCTGAGACTCCTTTTGCTTGGCACACACACCCAAAACTGCATGTATGTTGAAATATGGCTCATTATGTAGTTGTCCTGGCAAACGCCTCATCTCTCTAATTGGTCAGCTCACTACTGATGGAACATGGTCCATGTATATGACTCCAGCAACATCACTAGAAAATACCATCCTCCAGCCCTCTCCTGATATTCAGAACCACCATTCAGAGCCAGGAGGTCCCAGGGCCACCTTCTCTGAGAATTTTTTTTCTAGTTCTCCAGGTAGCATGTCACTCTCCCTATTGTGATCATTTATGACATTCTTTGCAATATTTGATCTTTCCCAGATTGGTTTTCCCTTTTTCTAATTTTTTTTTTAAGAGACAGAGTCTCACTACGTTGCCCAGGCTGGTTTTGAACTCCTGGGCTCACGTGATCCTCCTGCCTTGGTCTCCCAAAGTGCGGGGATTACAGGCATGAGCTATCATGCTCAGCCTATTTTCTCGTTTCACTTGCAAGTTCTGTGTGGGTAGAAGCAATGCCTATTTCTTCTCTGACATGATGGCCCTGTTACTCAAAATGGGGTTACTCAAAATGCACCAACAACATAGGCCTCCTGTGAAATCTGTTTACACCAGAATCTTAGGCGCTAACCCCTAACCTCCCAAGTCAGAATTTGCTCCATGACAAGATCCCTGAATGATTTCTGAATACATTAAAAGCTGAGAAGTACTGCTTGAGCACACCTGTTCCTAGTGAATCAGACCAACCATGAAAGTCATTATTCCATCTCTCTAACTTGGTGAGTTTCAATCCTAAGTGCAATTTGGAAGTATACAAGGAACTGAAGAGAAGGTATTGTGATGTTCAGTTCTGTTCCCCAGAGAGTCCACTTAATTCATCTTAATTAGTCTCAGACATCACTTTTTAAAGCATCCTGGATGCACACTAACGTACAGCTGGCGTTTTGAACAATTACTTTCCACACATTTCCCAATGGGAACTGTGTTTCTTTTTGACAGAAGCAAACCCCAGAGTCGCCTTGAGATTAGTCAAAAACCGGAGTAATCTTAGAGTGGAAAATACCTAAAATTTCTAGAGACAATTATATTATTGTCTTCCCCTAAATGAGTGAGTTACTTGAGAATATGGTGGGGGATTCAGTGGGGGCTATCGGCAAACACTGTTGGCTGACTTCAGGATGGGAGCCACTCAGCAGAAGTTTTGTCTCCCGTGTTAAACTGTGAGCACAAGAGGACAAGAGCTGGAACTTTCTTCATCTCTGTAATCCTTATGCATGAATGGATGGATGAAGGAATACCACTGAGAATTCATGTATAGATTGCAGATGTGCAGGGAATATTGAACTGAAATTTAAGAGGGCTGGATTCAAGTTCAGCTTCTATGTAAACTCTCAGTGAGGAAGGTCTTATCATTTTTAGAAGTAATCAACTGAATTAAGATTCTCTTTTCCGCTGGTCACAGTGGCTCATGCCTATAATCCCAGCACTTTGGGAGGCCCATGCAGGTGGATGACTTGAGGTTCAGAGTTCAAGACCAGCCTATGTAACATAGCAAAAACCCCATCTCTACTAAAATTACAAAAAATGAGCCAGGCATGGTGGTGTACACCTGTAATCCCAGCTACTCAAGAGACAGAGGCAGGAGAATCGCTTGAACCCAGGAGGTGAAGGTTGCAGTGAGCTGAGATTGCACCACTGCACTCTAGCCTGGGTGACAGAGTGAGACTGTCCAAATAAAAAAAGGTTTCCTTTTCTCTTCTCTCAGGGAACGGCCTGGAATAGAGAAGAGAGACGGGTTCCAACTCATGTAAAACTTCTCCAATGGGAGACAAGGACACTGTTTGAGGGGAAAATTCCTACACAAGCAAACAAACAGCAGAGGATACCGGCCCCCCACCCCCTGCCCCATCCAGGGTAGGAGCACAGTGGATCACCTGCTGCCCTGTGTCTTGTGGCCTCTGTCCCTGGAATCTCACTGATGGAAATGTACCAGTCCCTCAGGACTCCTTTCCCATGTCACCCTCATGAAGCCTTCTCTGATAGCCCCACGCTCAGTAGATCTTACCACATATGACTCGTGTTACTATGATTATATACATGCCTTTCTCCTCACCAGCTTACGATTCTCTTAAGGATCAGGACTATGTCTTGCTCATTTTTACATTTCCTATAGTATTGAAAGGGGGCATAAAAGGTATTGGATAGATTTTGAGAATTGAGTGAGTAGAGTTTTTGCCTTGACACCTGCAGCTGCAGCAATTACAAAAGCAGTGGGTCATGCTGGCTGCCGGGCAGTACTTCTTCAGAGCTGGAAATAACCCACAAGGAGACATCAGGCTTTGGTGCATTGACACACTAAAGTCGCTCAACCCTGACCCTGCCAGTATGTCTTCATTTGGGAAACTTTTTCATCCCAAAGTTCCCCAGCTTGAAAATGCCTTTTAAGCAGAGCTTATTTTATTTCCTTTCTGGAATTCTTGACATAGAGTGAAGGAACTGGAAGGGAGTTTCAAGATCCCTGGGTGACCTCCTCATTTTACAGAGAGAAATCTGTCAAAAACTCACGCCCTCCCGGTGTCCTCTCCTCAGTGCTTTGGCCCACTTTCTGATTCCTGCAAGGTTTATCTTCCTGCTAATTCTATTCCCTGTGACCTCAGGCAACATGCCTCATTTCCTGAGGGAATTCTCTCCTTATCTGTAAAGTTTCTGCTCTTCCTTGGGCAAGGAGAGGAGAGGGGAAGGAGCCGGAACAGCCACTACATTGAGGGACTGCCTGCCTTGATGGTGCCCATCACCAGCAGAGGAATGACTCCAACAAAAAAAAATCACAAAGAGTACTGGGCGTGGTGGCTCATGCCTGTAATCCCAGCACTTTGGGAGGCCGAGGCGGGCAGATCATCTGAGGTCAGGAGTTCGAGACCAGCCTGTCCAACTTGGTCAAACCCCGTCTCTACTAAAAATACAAAAATGAGCCAGGCGTGGTGGCACATGCTTGTAATCCCAGCTACTTGGGGAGGCTGAGGCAGGAGGATTGCTTGAACCCGGGAGGCAGAGGTTGCAGCGAGCCAATATCTTGCCACTGCACTCCAGCCTGGGCGACAGAGTGAGACCCTGTCTCAAAAAGAAAAAAAAAAAAAAATCACAAAGAAGTATTCAGAATACCCAAGCCTTTAGGCAAAAACCAGTCTAGGAATACTTCTCTATCAGGGGAGTGGGATGGAGGAGTTATAGAGCTCACCAACCATTCTATATTAGCACCTCTAACTGATGCATTCGTGAAACTCATTCTTTTGGTGCAGAATTGCGAAGTCAATTTTTTTCTTTTTCAATTCTCCCATCTAAAATGAAGCATACGCCCAGGTGATTTATCAAACTGTCTGTTTCAGGCATGCTGTTTTAAGGAAAGTAGCAACTGTCTCATGAAGCGCTCCCAATGTTTAGGAAAAGCCCTTCCAGCCTCAAGGCATGTCTTGAAGAGGAATGAAGCAGTAACAGTAGCAATAATACTTTGGGATCTCAAGAAGTTGAAAGATTAAATGTGAAGGGTTAAACATTTTGTGTTTGACTGACAAAGGCGAAGATGGGAAATTCCATTGTGGGCAGTTGTCTTTACAAGAAGGGATAATTACACAAACACATGATCTCAATGGGTTTCCGCACTGTTTTTTTAAAGAATTATTTTTGAGTCTAGAGGATAAAGATTTGATCACAGAATTCCTAGAATGAAAGAAAGATGATCAAGGGACACATAAGCTCTCAGAATTTCCACAGTTCTGAGAAAGGTGCCTTCAATAACGTGCCATATTGGTAATACCAGGAGAATTTTCTTTCTGACCACATCCCAGGGCCCAGTAATATAGAGACTAAAAACACTCAAGTTGACTAATACGTCCTCATAAACCCTTGCCATGTTAAATGGTGGCTTTGGAAATTTTCAGAATGAAAATCTGCCCTTATGAATCAGCTAGAAATTGCATCTGTTGACAGTCTGATTTCATTAGAGAACTCTCACCCTGAGGAATAAAAAGTCTGATTTGTTTCAAGACTGGGTTCCTCTTGGAGAAAAAAGTCTGTGATGAAATGGTTTCTTACCCTGGAGTGATGCCAGAGAATTCCTGTGGATTCCAGAAACTCGACCCATGTCATCGTCTTTGGCCACTGGGTCCTCGTTTGCCTCGTGATTGGACAATTTTAAGAGCCTCATGACCTGTCTGTGTGCACCTGATCTCCCTCCACTCTATGCCAACCTCATCTCCATAAAGCTCTGACCCTGTTTGCAATAAACAGAAACAGAACAATCCAGGGAGACCAGGTTCAAACCCTGGCACTGTCACTGCCTGTGCGAGTCTGAGTTTTGGGTTCTTCTTCATCTACGGGTTCATGACATCCATACTGCAAAGTGGCTAGGAAGATTACAATAAGACACACATCTGGCACATAGAATTTACTTTCTAAATGGTAGTTTTAAATTTTCTTGTAGTTCTTTATCGCCTACTAAGTGAAGTTAAGAAGTTATAACTAGGAGAATTCTCTTTCTGACCACATCCCAGGGCCCAGTAATATAGAGACTAAAAATGCCTAATGCCTTAGATGATTCATTTTACCTCGTCCTAACTTTCCAGTTTGAATTTCCCATATCCCCACCCTCCCTGTCCAGGGTAGGAGCACAGTGGACCACCTGCTGCTCCCTAAGGCGCTCCTGTGTTTTGGCTTATAGGGGCCTCTCTCCCTGGAATCTCATTGATGGAAATTTACTGGTCCCTTGGGGCTCCCTTTGCATGTCACCCTCATGAAGCCTTCTCTGACAGCCCCACGCTCCGTAGATCTTACCACACTCTGACTGGTATTACTGTATTTATATCTATGCTTTTCTCCTCCTCACCTGGTTATAAATTGCTTAAGTGTCAGGACGATGTCTTGCTCATTTTTGTATTCCCTATAGTGTTGAGAGGCAGATGGTGTATGGATAGATGTTGAGAATGGTGTGAAAGAGTCCTTATGGGACTCTACTTCCTCTGCTCCCACCAAGACCACTCAGACCCTTGGATAAGTCACCAATGGCTAGAAATAACACGAGTTTACTTGAAATGTGTCTTCCAGAGGCAGAGCATGATTAATTGTCAAGATTTTGCTGTTCTTGGCTTGGACTGAGTTAGCAAAGACCCTGTGGACATAGAAATCACATTGAAAACCTTCCTAAAAGAATACCCTTGTTATAAGAACGACACAATGGACTCTGAGGACTCAGGGGAAAGGGTGGGAGGTGGGTGAGGGATAAGAGACTATGCATTGGGTACAGCATACGTGCTTCGGTGGTGAGTGCACCAAAATCTCACAAATCACCACTAAAAAACGTATTCATGTAACCAAACACCACCTGTCCTCCAAAAACCTATTAAAATAAAAAATATAGGCCAGGCATGGTGGCTCACACCTGTAATCCCAGCACTTTGGGAGGCTGTGGCCGGTGGACCACAAGGTCAGGAGTTTGAGACCAGCCTGACCAACATGGTGAGACCCCATCTCTACTAAAAATACAAAAATTAGCTGGTCATGTTTGCACACACCTATAATCCCAGCTATTCAGGAGGCTGAGGCAGGAGAATTGCTTGAGCCCATGAGGCAGAGGTTGCAGTGAGCTGAGATCCGGCCACTGCACTCCAGCCTGGGCGACAGAGCGAGATTCCGTCTCAAAAAATAAAAATAAAATGAAAAATATATAATAAGTAAATAAAATGTCCTCTTTAAAGACATTCCTACATCTGGGCCAGCACACAGCCCAGCATGACTTGGCCACTTCCCCTAAACAAGCAAGCAGACTCCTTAAATGCATCATCATGCTTCATTTCTTAATCAATTATTTCTGCAGCCAGTTGGCATTCTACTTGTTGTCATTGTAGACTTTCAAAAAAAACTATAAACTTTCTTATCTGTCTTCCTGAGTAAGCAAAGGGAAGACATTATTAGAAAATTCACACTCAATTAGGAAGAGTGGTTTGAGGTAGAAGTTGGTGGTTTTTTTATTTCTTTTAAAAAAAAGTCTTGGCCAGGCACGGTGGTTCATGCCTGTAATACCAGCACTATGGGAGGCCAAGGTGAGTGGATCTCTTGAGCCCAGGAGTTCAAGACCAGCTTGGGCAACATGGCAAAATCCCATCTCTACAAAAAAATAAATTAACCAGGTGTGGTAGCTTGTGCCTAAAGTCCCAGCTACTCAGGAGGCTGAGGTGGGAGGATCGCTAAGCCTGGGAGGCGAAGGTTGCAGTAAGCCAATATCGCGCCACTGCACTCCAGTCTGGCTGACAGAGACAGTGTCAAAAAAAAAATTTGAGAAAATCCATTTGAAAGAAGGAATGAAATTTAAAATTTGCATATATAAACACATATACACGTACATATCATGTATATATATAGTGTTATGAGAAGTAGTAACGTTCTAAAAGAGAGTATGCATATTTTTAAAAATTTCTGTAAAGTTGCACTTGTAAGGAAATTCCTAGGTATTATTTCCTGAGGCAGTAAAAGCAATGAATACAACCTTGAAGCTAAACTTTTTTGAGATCTTAAATTATCCCAGTGTTTGATATATGAGTACTGATGTCTCCAGCAAATTAACCTGAATTTAAAGAGCTTCCTGATAGCTTCTTAGCTGGGGGGTGGGAGTGCAGAGAAGAAAGGAAATTCACTGAAGAATAAAAGATAATTTCTTGAGGAACCTGCTCATCAGGGCCCTGTTAACATCCAAGTATCCCAAATATCATGCCACACCATTCTTCCCAGAATTAATCATCAAGGACTGAGAAGGACAGGAGAACCTAATGCTATTTCAGGCTCTCTTGACGGATGAAGGAATACTGAGGCATAAACTGGGGTCCCCGTGGGTCACGGGCAAGAGGTGGAACCCAAGATTCAACTCCCTTCTTGGAACCATCTACCTGGGGACTCCCTCTGGCTCTGTGGCTGGGGAGAGGGAGGCCCATCAGCCTTCCTGGAATTCCGGAGGCACCCACAGGCCCTTACCTGCCTGGCAGCCAGGCACCGTGATGAACGTGAGCAGTCCCCACATGAGCAGGTATGGATCCATCTTCCTGGCCCTTGGGACCTGCCGGGACAGTGAAGAGAGGGCTTTCTCTGCAGAAGGCCCAGTTGCCGTCAGCCTCTTTTTGGCATCGCGCTGGAGGATGTGGGATGGGAAGATCGGTCCGCCTGGACTGTCACCCTTGTGGGCCCATCCAGTCTCTATCGGAGTCAGGAGTTGCTCTCTTTAAGTATTGGGCTGGTGTGTTCAGCCAGGAAACTGCCTAGCACTCTCTTCTCTCATCTCAAATATAGGAAGTGTTTTTTTTTTTTTTTTTTTTTTTTTTTTTTTTTTTTTTTTTTTTTTGAGACAGAGTCTTACTCTGTGGCCCAGGCTGGAGTGCAGGTCTTGAAATAATACCAGATTCCTTTTTTAAAAATACTGTTAGAGCACAATATAAAAATGAGGAAAATAGGAAGTTTTTTTTTTTTTTTTTAAAAAAAAACCCTTCCTTATTGAGATGAGAGAGGACGACCGTGCTAGCGCAGTTTCCTGCGCTGAACCACCACCAAGCCCCAATACTTAAAGGACCGAGCAACTCCCTGACTCCACGATAGAGACCCTGCGATTGGGCCCACAATGGGTGACTAGTCCAGGGCGGACCCGACTTTCCCATCCACATCCTCACAGCGCGATGCCAAAAAGAGAGCTAGACACCGCGCACTGGAGCCTTATGCCAGAGAAAAGCCCATCTCTTCACCTGTCCCGGCAAGTCCCGACGAGAGGCACAGCGAAGATGGATATACTGCCTCATGTTGCACGGGACTGCTCACGTTCATCACACGGTGC